ACAAAAAAAAAATTATTTTCATATATTTTTATAACATATTTTAATAATTATTAGAGAAATAAGAAAAAAATTTTAATATTATAAAAAAATTTTATATTTTTTATTATCAATATTAAAACTTATTTTGAATAGATTATTAATTTATTATTAATAAATTTAATTTTTAATAGTTATAAAATTTGTAAAAGCTAAAATTAAAAATCATAATCATATTAAATATAACATAATTAATTCTTGTGATGTACCCTTCCATCCGCCCATATCCTAAAAGTGAATATATCCTAAAAGTGAATATTATTAGTCACACATTAATTTGTGATGAAATTTATTGAGTTCCGTTGACATCCACTATGGACCACGATTTTGTGAAAGGTAATGGACAAGTGAACGCTACTAGGACTGTTGAATTTAACCTCAATAAAACAAAGGTCCCATATATAATTTAAAAATGGACCACTTAAAAGATAAAAAAATCAATATATTGCTCTCGGTATCCCCATCAACCCTTTTGATGCAAGAGAGAAAAGATTGATGAATTGGATAGAAAAAGTGGGGTTTCAGAATGATTATTGACACTGAGAAAGCTTGAGGATGTCACAAAGTAACAACCCATCTTACTCCCTCGCAGCTTGTTTCAGCAAGGTCTTAAAGGTGCATCCGTTCATCATTCATGCACATATATGATAAATGGAAAATATTTATGTTGCTCTCATAATTAGACAGGTTAAAAGTTTGCGGGCCTGTTTGCTTTAAAGAAAGTGCAGGAAAAACAGAAAATTTTTCTTTATTTGAATAAACAAATTAAAGGAGAGAAAGAGATTAAGCTTTCTTTTATTTTATTTTTGCCTTCGTTTTCGTTGTTTATTTTAATCTACTCAAATGAGTGGATGAAAGAGGAAATAAAAATGAAAAATACTATTTTGTTTTCCTTAAATCAAACAAACCCTAAATTTTACTAATTATTTTTAGTGTCAAATTATTTTATTATGAGTTATAAGTTATATAAAGAGGCTCAATTTCTCAGCTACTGCCTCCTATGACATCCCTCGGGTTTTTCTTATGTTCTCGGATCCATTTTCATAGGATTCTTTCAAATGGTACTTGAAGGTTAATGGCCAGTGCACATTTCTTTTTTTTTTTTTTTGCCCTACAGTTCACCTAGTTTTACAGGTTAACTTTAGTGCTTTACCATGATGACCTAATCCTTTTTCCAGGCATGGTTCACCTAAATTGTGGACTATTAAAGAAGCGCCTTTATATAAGATAAGATACCACTGATTAACCTCTAGATGCTTGCAAGATACCTTTGACTAGGTTATGCTAGAACAACATTGTCTATTTCTGTCTCCTTCTATCATTTTCGCCCGAAGCACACGGAAAAAATAATAATAATAATAATAATATAAGAAAAAATAAAAACAGATAAAATGGGATTTCTGGTTAAATCCTCCTTTAACTTTTAACATTGCAAAAGTGAATCCCAAGCAACTTTACAATTAGTAGAGAAACAGAAATTAAGGAACACATTTGATCACCAAACTCAGAAGGCCCAATTTCTTGCCTTCTAAGTTCATCTTAAAAGCCATATAAAGTCAATATAAGATTTCCAATTGGAGCTGAGAATAGTGGTTACAGGGGAAGCAGAGTTACAAAAACCTTTAGCTATCTTATGAAAATTCAGACATCGGGTTCTAAGTTCCTACCTTACTTATGTCTAACATTGAGTTTAAATCCCAAAACAGGAGTTTTCCATCAATTAAAATCACTTGAACTTTCAAGGTAGCTTCATCCCACAATCCTACTTGATACAATAGCCCACATACTATATTATCATTTTGAAATCTCAACAACCAGAGCGGTTTCGTACCAAACGCAATTAATTGATGAAACTGTCTCCATATATCACATTGAAAGCAATGAAATTTGATTGAATGATTATGGTAAATAAAGATGGGAAGAGAGACATGGACAACAACTCAATTAAGGAAGGCGGTTGTATGAACATGACCATAAAATAAGTTTATGAAACTGTTAATTAATTAGTTTAATTTCATAACCTATATTATAAGTATAGACTTTTAATGATTACTGCCATCTTTCTTGAATACAACTTTAGTTTGAATCATCACTGTCATCGTTTTCCTTTGTGTTCTTTGCTTGCCAGTGAAACAAGAGGCACGACTTAGTGGGGTGATCTCTGAGAAAGAAACTTTTTCCACATGCTGAACATCCCATATTCCCATTCCCACCTTCATGAGAAACTGCAGACCTGCAAAAGGTCTTTAGGTGGGTTAGAGCTTAGGATGCTTTCCTGGTAAAAAGACAATTATGCATATAGAAATTGGTTTCAGTAACCCCTTTTTTCCTCTCGGATTCAAACAAGCTCTATATCACACCAGAAGCAACAACATAAGTTATTGAAAGTGATTGTCTGCATGTTTTTCATTAACTCTTGGATGTTCTAGCTTCAACAATATTGTAAAGACTTTGGCTCTCAAGATTTTTATTAGCATTCAGAATTCAGAAGAGTAGAATAACTGGTCCCCCAGGCATAGTGTTATGCTTTGCACATGTGAAATAAAGTAAAGAACAAATGAAGGCAGAGCAGCCAAAAAATAATAGAGATAGAGTAAAGAAATTTGGTTAGATACCTGGAAACCATAACATATGCTGGAGTGCTGGACCACTAGCCTTTCTGGTTCCAAGTCATCTGATAAATATAGCACTGAAATTTTTGGGTTCCGCTTCTTAGATAAAATATATTTAGCAGTTGAGGATCCCTACATCTTTTTGCTGGTTGAGGGCTGTCAAGCTGTAAAAGTACTGGAAAATAATATAGACATAAACAGAGAAAGGAATTGTTTACTATATTGAGTCAAGCTGATATTGTTTTTTGCAATGTTAAGTTTTTGAGTTTATTTTGTGTTCTTGTGTGGTTCTCTTTGAGTTGTTTGCGAGTGTATTGTGTTAGGAGAATGTCAGGACCATATACCAAGACCATATGTGTTTATTCATAAGAATTTT